TATATAGAGCTATTAATATCTTCTCTATAGCCTCTAAGTCCTCTAATATAGAATTAGTGTTTTTAAGTAGTAGGCACACTTTTATATATAACTATAAGTGTATAAGCTGTGATAACCTAGAGCGTGTTAAGTGTGTAGGGAACTAGATACATAAGGGCATCATCACTTCTTTAGTAAGCAGTAGTATAGATGTTATAAAGCCTCTAGAGAGCAACTATAGCATTAAAAAGAGTGTAGATTTAAAATATTACTAATTAATTTATAATAACCTCTACTATTTAGCGACTAGCGTGGTCACGTGTTTAACGCTATATGCAATACAACATGTGATACGCGATATCTAATATCATATCACATGCTGGCTGGCTATATTGGATATCGCATGTAGAAGCCTTATCGGATATAATATCCGATCTGGCAAGTCTAAAGTACGTTACAGAATAGTATATATACCTGTTGCATGTAAGCGCCATCTTAGCCTTACACAGGTTGTAATTAGTTACGTGCTAGAGTTAAATGTTGTTATTATGCGTCTATTACCTATCTAATACTACTTTACTAAGCATTATGCTGTAATTATTCTTTAACTTAAATAGCCTACTTTAATGCGCTAACTGTTACTGTTACAGTTTTCTTATAAAGGCTACTTATAATAATGTGCACTATAGGCAAATTGCTTACACACCTAAGTTGCTTACTTTTACTAAGACTATACTATAACAACCTGCTCTAGCAATGTATAGTATAGTATAGCCTAGAATATTATTTAGATACTACTTCTACTTCTTGCTTATATATTTGCGCGCTATGCTTAGTCTAATTGCACTATCTGCAGCGCCTTTAGGATAACTTACCTACTTTAGCTTACACCTGCTTCTTTGCCTTCTTCTTGTTACTGCGCGCTCTAAACTCTTTTAGAGCTGTTAAGCGCAGGCTTTCTAAATTATTAAAGGCTTTTTTTCTTTAATTTGCTTTTTTTATATAATTTATGTTGTGTCGCTGCTTTATTAGCTGCTTAAAGCTTAGTAAGTTCCTGTTATACTTAAACTAGCTTATACATAATTATTACTACCCTTTTTAAGACATTTTTAAATGCCTTAACTATAGAAGTTAGTAAACTATTTATATGCTTCTTAATTTGTATTTGTATAAAGATTAATTATAACTTAAGTTCTAGAGTGTTATATAGAGTTTACAACTACTAGAGCTTATTATATATAAAAAGTAGTAGTAATAAAGTGCGCAACTTTACATTAAGGCTTATTTTAACTTATTATAAGTTAAAAGGAACGAATCTAGAGCTTTAAAACCCTTCTTAGATTTTACTTAAAAAACAGTAAGTTATAGCCTTTATAGCTGTTAATAACTAGCAGACAGTAGCTGCTAACAGTACACTTCTTTATATATACTATATACACATTAAAGCGCTTTAACTAGTCTAGACTAAGCTAATTAGTATTCTAACTGCGCTTAAAGAATATAATAACCTAATTCTAAAGTAGCTTTTTCTTCTTATACTAGTTTAAAAAGTAATTGCTAACTTAGAAAATAATAAAGAGTAAAATAGCCTACTATTTAGCACTAATACCCTAGACAGCTGTTCTTATCTCTCTAAACCTATAACAACTAGTCTAGTAGATATCTAGCCGATTGTAAACTCTATCTTATTAAAGTTGTGCATGTTGTTATCTTAGATACTATACTTCTTTTTAATAATCTTTATATAGTTAAACTAGCTTTAAATTACTATAAGATTCTTATTAAAAGCTTTTTTATAGTTATACTTACACTTAAACTTTACTTTAAGCTCTAAACAACACTTAACAAACATACTAAGCTAGTTTATGCTAACATAGCCTAGATTATCCTTAGCGTGTAGAGAATTAGCTATATTAGCTATAGCTACTAGCTGAAGGGGAAATTCTTGCGCATCTAGCTTTAGTATGTGCTTAATAATTACCTACTCTTTATTATTATCTAGCTTTTATAAGTTAGCTATATAATTAGCTTAAAAATATTGTCTAGCGCATTAGTTACTTGTTTTTAAAAGACTTTATAAATAGCTATAGTGTGTTACTTAAAAAGTGTTATGTCTTATTTAAAAGCCTAGAGTGTAAGCTATATCTAACATTCCTTTAACACATCTAAGTAGTGTTATTAGAAATGCATTAGTGTAAGAAGAGTTGTATAGTGTAGTCTTAGTAAAAGTAAGTAACTTAGGTGTATAAGTAACTTGCCTGTAGTGTATATAATAAAATAATTTCCTGCGAAGGATTTTTAAGCGTGAAATAACAGCGTACTCTAAGCAAACTCCCCTTGTACAGATAATTTATAAACTGTTGTAGTATTTTATATAATAAGTATTTATTATTTTCTTTCTTTTTAATAATGTGTTACTGCTTTAGCATAATTTAATGTATTAGTATAAACCGCTAATTTCTTATTTAGGTTACACGTAGCTATTACTAAGGCTTTTGTAATATTAATCTTAATTATATCTATTATTTGTTGCATCTCTAGTGTGTATCTAAACATAAAGCCTTTCTTAGTAGCTTTTATTAATAGTCGTGCCTTTTTCAAATATTCTAGTATAAAGTGTTCTAAATTTCTTATTAGTTTTATAAATTCTTATACATCTTTTACTTTCATTCCTTTACGCTATGTTATTATAGTTCTAATCTTTTTTAGCTCTATTTTACATCTCTATTTTAAAATAATAAAGCCTAGATACTTTATTTTTTATATTAAAAAAACTTATACTTAGGTTTTTATAGTAGTAAGCCTTTTTCATTTAGTTTCTTAAAAACCTATTATCTCTTCTTACTATAATTGTTACGTTCTCTATTAGGACTGTAAACGAGTGTCCGGAACAGAAGCATTGGCCCGTGGACCAATGGTAGGAAATGTTCATCGAGGACCAGAACAGAACACGCGGAGATAAGCCGCACAGTTGCAGGCAGGTTAAGAAGTTCAGGCAGTGCGCGCACTAAGAATAAGTGCGCGCAACCTCTAGTATATATTCTTAATCTTAACTATTCTTAGGAAGACTGTAATTAAAGTTCTCTATTCCCTCTTATAATAGACGTAAGTAGTATAGCACGCTTCTAACAGCACTATAATAGGGTCTATACTCTCTTATTAAGCGTTGCCTCTAATCTCTATACTGTGAGCAAGGCAAACTATAAGGCTATCACTATCTACCCCTATCACGCAGGTACGACAGACTGTACACCTAACGTTCCAGCCGACCCTATATTTCTCGCTATAGTACACCATAGTGTATACCCTACATCTAGCCTAAGTACTACGTGACAGGATTATAAAGTAAGTATTATAATATTAATTACTACTCTCTTTCTTAGTATAAATCTTCTAACCCCCCTTTTTATTGTTTAAATAGAGGGAGTAAACTCTTTAGGCAGTACCTTTTCTAAGCTAACTTAGAATAAGAACAAACTAATAAAACAGATTAACAAACTATAGATAGAGCTACCTACTATGCAAAATATTATACTTTACAAAAACACTATAGTAATAGAACAAGCTATGCACTTAGCTCTTTTAAACTATTTACTAGAAATTTCTAAGATTTATAACTTTTCTTTACATATTACATTCTCTTTATAAACTATAATAAACGTGCATCTTAATTAAATAAAGAAATAATATAGTAGATAAAACTATAACTAGATAGCAACCTAGCTATATAGTTCTAACCTTACATATATAACTAAAGAGCGCACTAAGGCTTAAGTAAACCCTTTTAAGAAAAAATAGGTAAGATATTTACTAGCACATAAGCATTTAAAAAAAAGCTCTAACAACAATCTATAGACTAGTAAATGCAGATAAAATAGTAGCTAGAGCTTTTACTATTGTTCTCTTAGAGTATTAAAGCTCTTTTAATTGTTTAGCGCTTTACTAAACCTTAGAATAGAACTACTACTAGTAATAAAAAATCTTCTAATTACGTTAAGCAATAGTTTAAGCTTTAAAGCATTAAGTAGCAGATGTAGAGAATCTTAGATAGCTATTTTAAGCGGGTTTAACTTTTTTTAAGTTAAGATTAAGCTCTTTCAATCCTTTTAAGTTACATGCTACTAGTTTACTTATATAATAATTTACTATACTAGTTAAAAAATAAAAGAATAGTTATATTATTATATTAAACGTCTACTATGGTAAAATATAATGGTTATAAATATAAACATCTATTTTAAAAATCTTTGTTTTTATTACTATTTAAATAAACTAGTATTTGTAAAAACAGTAATATAGAAAATGTATAAAAAGAGCTAAAAAAAAAAGTATAAAGTCTTATAAATTAAGTTAAGAAGTAAAGTAGGTTAGTTTAAGTATAAGAGTAGTTTAGTATAAGAAATATTAATTAAGCCTGTGCGTTGCTAACATAGTTTAAGAACTAGCTAGTTTTACTTGTTAGTGTATAAACACTATAGTCTTACTTTGTACAAGGTAGGCGCGCTAGCATGTAACCTAGTATTTTGCACTAAAAACTCTATAACTTATTACAGAAATGCATATTAGTTAGATCTAGTAAAGAAAAGAACATTATTTTAATATCTGCTATAGTTAGCAGAGTACTATTGAAGTTTGTCCCTTCACCTGTTAACAGTCCGCCGTAGGAGGAGCGTCTGGCTCGTGAGATAATGGTCTCTAGGGGGAGCCTGAGGCATGTCCCTGTTTACTGTGGCAATTATTATTCTTACTGGGGCATCAATTGAGGCTTAGGTATGTGGGCGTTAGCGTTAGTAGGTGTTATACGGATGGAATGCGACTAAGCTTTTGATTTTCGCTTTGTCGCATGAAACCGTCAACGAGCCGACCTGGACCTGATCCCCACCACATAGTACTTTATTGGGATCATCGTGTCCATGGCCTCTGTCCAATCTCGCTCCTCACTTGAAATTATCTTGATTCCTAAAACCCTCTAGTTGCTTATGTTCATGTCAAATAGTTACGTCACCATACTCTCCACATTATTATCCGCCGTCTCCACCATCTCCCCCTCCCCCACCGCTTGCGTCTCCACCACCTCCCCCCTCATCTGTCCCCAGATCAGCTGCTCCCCAATTACCTCCAGCTCTCCTCTGTCCACCATTGCCTCCTCCAGCAGTGGATCCTATCCCTCCAAAATATTTCGACGAAGACCCTACTAAATAAGAACTTGCAGAATCCTGAAAAAAATCAATCGCCACGACAATTACGTATATAACATAGAGCAAGGCATTAAGCGCGCCACACGCAATCGTTGCAATTCCAACCGCTTGCGAAACATTTCTGTACGTCTGCTCTGCTGTTCCAGACTGGAGTAACCGTTGATAGCAAAACTGGTCGGTGATATCCCACTTATCCAAATGGCATTGAAACCAAAATATGAATGTTACAAGCCACCCCGCGAGCATAACAGTAGAGAATACGATTGCGTAGACGTATGGTATCTCTCTTTTCTGATATTGGGACGCGGTTGTGATAGAAAGGAGGAGAGTTATGGCAGGTGGACCGCCATAAAGCGTTCCTCCGCCCGTTTTCCACCATGTCACTGACGGATGGGGATTTGCTGGTGCGCGGTAGATTTCCGAGGCGTAATAGACTGCGAGGGGAAGGGTAGCGAATGACAAGAGGGTTACACAAGTTTCAAGAACGAGGGGTGGACTTGGCCTTGAATAGCGGTTCCCCATCATTGCGGCTCGGAAATTGCTGTTTTTCCGTTCTTTGCGCACGTACGAAATAAAAGTGAGAAATCTGGGCTTATATAGTCATTTATTAGTAGGTGTTTCGGGTGGCGTGGCGATGCTAAGTGCGAATTCGGCGAATTCTTTTCTTTTCTCGATAAATTAAATGAGCATCACGCGTGCTAAGAAGGTAGCGATACAAGCGATCGCGAGGAGCTTTAGTTTCGAATGGGCTGTGTAGACTTGGCGAGAAAATAGAAGCTGTTACGTGATACAAGAATAATTTTGCCCATCAGCAGCTTTAAGCAAATTCTCCCATTAAAATAGAAAACAGCCGCAGTGAAACTATCTTGAAGAAGGATGGCAATTCCTAAAATGTTTTTCTTAAGCAGAAAAGCAAGTTCAGCCTGTTTCTGTTATTGTACACTCTATTTATGTTACTCATCCGCGTCTATAATGTGTGAAGCTTATAAGAGCACTAGAGGCATAACAAACGAGATTGATTGCTAAAGAAGGGTAACTACAAGCTTACGTGGTACTAAGTAAGCCTGTTATGTGACCCAAGGCTACCACTAGCTTAGGCAGCAGGCGGAAGTAGTGTTGGGGACTCGAGCTTTGAGAATTCTGTAACTGCAAATATAATAGTGTTTAATAAGAGGAGTGAATAGTCTAAGAAGCCTAGAGACGCTCTAGGCTAATTACAGACTGTATAAAAGAAAGCGGAATCCTTAGAATAATTAGAGCTTAGTACAGAGGAAAGACCGTAAAAAGGGAAGGTAAGAAGTGAACAAAATAAGATCACGTGAGGAAACTCCAGCATTAAGCGCGCGCTTTACACTATTACCCCCAATACACCTGCCACAGCTGCAACGGCTGCAACTGCAGTCTGCATAACAAAAGGAGCTACACCAGCCCTGGATATAGCGTTGGCAGTTGCAGTAGATGCACTGGTCTTAGGTGAGCTGCTGACCATCGTTAAGGAACTCGTGCCCCGCCCGGCGCTTGGAATGGCCGAGGTGCTGGTGTTGGGTCCGATGGTCGTGCTAGCAACAGCAGTGGGAGAAATAAAGCCAGTCTTGATCTCAAAGTAAGACGTGCAGGTATGAAATAGGAAATCGCTTGAGTCGGAATTCAGAGTTACAGAACAGATAGGGTCGCAACTGTCTAGCTGTTAGCAAATAGTGCCAAGCTACGTATGAGAAATAAATGTCGAACATCTAGACGTACGCATATTGAACTGATTTGGTTGAGCATGCCAATTTCCAAAGCTCGCTTGGGTTTGGAATAGCGTTGTAGGTAACTTTTTCGAGTCCACTACTTAGGCAATTCATGTAAGGTGTCGCGAAAAGACAGGAGATCTGAGACGAATACAAATGATAGTCAAATGATGCCATGCTGGTTGTAGCCATTTCTGTAGCCTTAATCGAGGTAGGGGTAACAATGGATGTAGCTGTACTGTCTCGCTCTAGAAGAGTGTTCTGAGGGTGCGCGAAGATAGCATTCACTGCCATGGCCAGGACGAGGCCGGACTTGAACATTATTGCGATAGAATTGGGGAAGTAGAAATAGAAGTGCCGATAAACATAGGGCGATCCGTTTCTCCCGAGATGCAGAGTAAATGGGACTGCAAATATTTACGCTAGAGCCTGACTTAAAATTAGTACATTACTAAGAGTCTAGGAGTGCCCAAACTTAACCGGGAGATTGTGGCGCAGCTAATTTCTCTTACGCACGTATGATAACCTTTTTCCAATGGGAAACAGTCTTGAGTTTAGAATTTGTACGTAATTTAGATATGTCTCAAGGCCAGAAGGTCGCTTCTTGTAACGAAGCTGCTCGGCGAGCTCGGCAGGCAGTCACAAGACCGTGCCTCGGCTCGAGCAAGCTCTCAAGCATGAACGCCTCCGACTAATCTAATAAGCCATCCCAGACTTGCCAGATCGGATATCATATCCGATAAGGCTTCTACATGCGATATCTGATATAGCTAGCCAGCATGTGATATAATATTAGATATCGCGTATTGCATATTGTATTGCATATAGCGTTAAACATGTAACTACACTAGTAGCTAAATAGTAAAAGTTATTATTAATTAATTAGTAATATTATAAATCTACACTCTCTTTAATGCTATAGTTGCTCTCTAGAGGCTTTACAACACCTATACTGCTGCTTACTAGAGGGGTGTCACGATTGTGCACGAGTAAGGTTATAGAGCTTCACGGAGGTCTAGTTCAATTACTACGTGAGGTATTATAGTAGGTACAAGACGTTGTGTAAGGAATAGAAAGGTTTAGAAAAAAATTAGTAATTAAATACTTAGCTTAAAAGTCTAAACACTTTAAGTATAAATTAAGCCTATTTTAAGTTTAGTTAGTGTTAAGGCAGTTTATGCTTAAGTTTATATCTATGTTATGTTATATTTATGTTAGACATGCACTAATAATACTCTAGTACACGTCTAATACAGTTATGTCTAGGATCTAGAGAGGATACTATAACAGTACCTCCCTCTTTATTAGAAAGAGAATCCTTTACATTAGTAGTTCTAGCATTAAGTTATTTTTATTAGAGTATAAGTTTAGTTTAAATACATATTAAGCGTAAAATTAGGTTACTGCAGAGTTTTTTTATAGAGCTTTTACAGGTTCCTACAACAGTTTATTATATCTAGTTTATTTTATAAAGTATTTATAAATATGTTTTTTTTTATTAAACTAGATTTATTTAACATCTTTTATAACATATTCTAGTTTATTATTTATAATAATAAGTTTAAGTAGTAGGTTTAGCTATTTAGGTAGATAGTTAGATTTAGAGGCTACTTAGCGCAGCAATAATACATAGAACACAGGGTGTATCTTTATGCTGTTAAGTAGGATTAATTAGTAAGCATATAATAAAACTATATAAGCTACTATAAAAAGGCTAAAGTTCTTTTAATTAAGTTTCTTTAATTATTAGTTTATTTAAATATTTCTAGTGTCTAGCTAGACCTTCTTACTAGCTGCATACGCAGAGGCAAGAGTTTAGAATTAGTTTATATACTCTTATTAAAAAGCTTAAGCCTATGTAAGCTTTTTATAAACATATTTAGATATATTTTAAATTTTATTAATAAGTTTATTTACATTTATTACTTATATAAATTAAAAAGTTAGTTAGAAGGTATTTAAAAGTAGTTTAAATTCTATTTAAAAGTAGTATCTATAGTTTACTAAAAATAAAGATACTTATGTTTATTTAAATATTATGTTATTAGCTTTAAACTATGCTATAGCTAACTATTTTACCTAGTTATCTTACTAGTAGTTTATGTACACTTATAAAACTTATTTTATTACAGTGTTTATATTCTTAGTTTAGCTATTAGTCTTTAAGTAAAAAGCTATAGATAGAGGATAATTTAAAGCTATTTATAAAGTTTGTTTTAAAAAGCTAAAACAAACTATGTACCTCTATTTAATATAATTATGTTAGGCAGGCTATAGTAAACTTATACATATTAGTAGAATAACTAGGCTATATTAGAGGCAGTTATAGAGGAACATAGTATTAAGTGTTAATACTTAGTTAAGTAATTAATAATTACTATAATATTTATATACTTTTTAAATAAGAGTAGGTTTATAATAAAGTTAATTAATATGTCTTTTTAAGCTTATTTAGAGATTAAAAGTAGTTTAAGTAGGCTATTATACCTTTTTTAAGAGGCCTTTACTTTATAGTAAGTATAGCAACATAATACATATTAGCGTACAGTATAGAACATGCAGGGCTAGTAGTACTCTCTCTGTAGTAGGTTAAGAGTCTTTCCTCTGCCTAAGTGTCCTCTAACAAGTAAGTTGTGTATAATTTAAAGTAGTTTAATTCTTAGTTTATTAAAATTAAAAATTATAAGTTAGTTATAGTAATATAGCTTACTATTTTAGTTTTTATAGTTAGCTAGTGTTACCTTTTTTAACTAACTAGCACTATTTTAAAGCAGGTCTAAAGTTTTTTAGATAAATTTATTATTTAAATACTTATTAGTAATAATTTAATTAATTATCTAATTTATTTTTTTTAAGTTAAAGTCTAAAAATAGCTTAAGTTAAAGTAGAGTTTAGTGTTAAGCTTTTTACACTTCTTTTTAAGCAAAAATGTTTTAAGATTGCTTTATAAAAGCATCTAGTTTCTCTTTATTTTAACTAAAATAATAAGTAATTTTAAAATTAAAATAAAATAAGTATTTAGACTAACAAGCTTATTAGTAGCTAAGTTATTTTATAGTTACAAAGTACTATAAGTTCTTATAGTTAAATAAGACTTATATTAAATGCGCTGCACTTTCTAGTTTAGGTTGCTATTATTTAAAGTAGTGTACTATAGTAAGTAATTTTTTATTATAAATCTTATAATTACCTTCTACAAAACTTATTCTTTTTAAAAAGTATGTAATAGGCCTAATAGTCTTATCTAGCTTAGTCTAGAAAAGAACTTCTGCTACTACATAGTCTAAGGCATTAGCTTCTATAAGTATTAGTAGTTTAAAGTTAAAGTAGTAGAGTATTAGAGCTTTAGTAAAAGCTTTTTTTAGCTAGTTAAAAAACTATTAGTAATTTAAGTTAAAGTTAAATTAAATTTTTTTTTTAGTAAGTGTAATTATAAGGCTTACTTACTATAAAAAGTTGTTAATAAATTATTAGTAAAAGTTAGTAAATTTTATAAAAACTTAAATGTTCTTTATGTTTTTTAAGTATTGCTAATTTAGCATAGTCTAAACCTTAATAAAGTCTATTTAGATGCTATTTATAAAAATTACATATTTTAAATATGTAACCTTTAATTAGTAGAACTTACATTTGTCTATGTTAAGTTATAGACCTGCTTCTTCTATAGCTTTTAGCACTAGGTGTACATGCTATTTATGCTTTAAAAAGCTATTACTATAGATTAGAATATTATTAATATACATAGTATAGAACATGTCTAGGTAGGGTTAGAGTAAGTTATTTACAAAATGTTAAAAAGTACTAGGCGTGTTAGCTAAGCTAAAGGGCATTACTAAGTACTTAAATAGTCTATATTAGGTCTAAAACACTATTAGCTACTTATTACCCTTTACTATTCTTAGCTTATTAAAGGTAGTAATAATATTTAACTTTATAAAATACTTTACTTTACTTAGTTAGCTTAGAGTTTTCTATAAAAAAGAAATTAAGTATTAGTTTTTAATAGTAATAGTATTTAGTTCTTAGTAGTTAATATAGAATTAAAGCCTACCTTTAAGTTTCTTTATAAATAGTATAAGTAACACTACTAGTAAGAAGCTAGCTTAAATAAACCTTTTTTTTAAGTTCTTATTAAAGTATTTTTAGAGCACTTTTAATTTATTTAGTAACATTTTATATAGTAGCCTATAATTAGGTTATTTACTAGGCTTAAAAGTTATCTAGTAATTATATAAATATTATATTAAAAGCTTATTAGACTTGTCTTAAAAAAACATATAACAAGTTATAGTAGTCTTAAAAGACTATTATTCTTAAGTTAGTGCATTTTTAGAGAGCTAAAGCTTAGTCTATATTAGAAATTATAACTGCGTAGATTTTATAATCTAGTTATTAAGCTAGAGTTATAAATAAAGTAGGTTTTATGTAGCAGATGTTTATTTGCTGTTTAAGTTCTAGTTTATGTCTAAATTAAGTAAGTAAAAATTTTATAAAAGCTTTTTTTTTTTAAGTTTAAGTAGTTATTAAATTATTTTATATAGCTTATTTTAGTAAAAGGCCTAGCTTATTAGCCTTACTTAAGTAGTTTTTTTTTAAGTTATTAGAAAGTAAGTCTAGAGACCTTTTATATTAAGTGCTACTTAGGTGTTATTTAGGTGTAAGTGTAAGCATATGTTTTAGTATTAAAAAAAGTTAAAGTTTAAAACTTACTCTTAGTAATTAAAGGCAACTTTATGCTAATATAGCTATAGTTATTTTAGAATTAGGTTATAACATCCTATGTTTATTACATAGAGCTTAATCTACTTTTTATAGTGTTAGTAGGTAATTATAATAGTTATAGTACAAAAAATAAAACCTTTTTTAAGTTATTTTCTATTAAATCTAGTTAGGTAAATTATTTAGGTAAGTAGTGTTAATTAAAAATTTAGTTTACATGCTAGTTCTTTATTAATATAACCTATGCTGTTTACTTTTAAGTTAATAAGAGCTTATATTAAGGCTAATATAGTTCTTTATTATAAATATATAAAAATATTAACTTAGTACTTTTAGTTATTAGTAGGGGACTTAGCCTATAAGTTAGTAAAGATCTAGTGTTAAATTAGTCTTAGAGGGCAACTTAGCCCTAAAACAAGCCTTTTTACAGGCTTTTACTGCTATAGCTGCAGCTACATTAAGAGTAGCAAAAAGGATTAAAGCTTAAATATAAGTTAAAGCTTTTACAAAAATAAAATTAAAATAGTAAAAATTTTTAATAAGTGCTAGCTACACTACTTATATAAACTTAAAAAAAAAGAATAAAGCAGTTTTAAAAAATATAACTATGCTTACTACACTTAAAGCATTAACTTTTTTTTTTGTAATTTTTACACTTTTTAGA